GGATGGATGGATGGATGGATGGATGGATGGATGGATGGATGGATGGAATTATAAACATGTAATTACTTCAGTGATGTTAAATAATGAGTATTATCTATGTGAACACAGAAGTAAAAGTAAACTTAAACAGATGTTGAAATAACGTGAATAAACACGGCGTGCACGCTTCTTGGCCACGTTTATGATTTTCTGTACTGAAACTAATGAAGTTGTGTTCCTGAGCTGCACTTCTGCTGTTTGTGTTTGATGCGTCTGCTTTAATGAGGCAGACGTCCCATTGTGAGCATGTTCGAACTATTCTGAGCCATGTTTTGACCTGTGATGTTTGCCGTGGATGACCAACACATTTACATAAACCTAGCCGTCTGCCGTTTTACTGCGTGCTGTCCTGCAGCTTCTTCTCACTTATCACCAATAATTCAGAGCTTTCTTTAACACAAGGAGCGTGTTTTCAACAATTAACACATCACATATTCACAGTTACACCGCCGCTTCAATCCTGCAGCCATTTTTTACTCGTATCACCTGCAGCCAGAGTTTGTTTAGACGCTGGAAAATCAGTCTAACATCAGGAACGCTTAAGATATTTGTGTAAACAGAACAAACATCACTTGCAGACATGGTCTAAAACATGAAAATGTCCAAATGTAGCTCAGATAAAGTCAAGTTTTATCTCTTATGTTTGCTAAATGTGTTTAAATGCATTTATAACAATGCATTTGTAACAGAATCAGAATTTATCGATACGTTTATTTGAAACGGTGCAAACTTTCAGCTGTTTAAACTCTGCACTAGTTTCTTCGCTGACAGAGATTCTGCGGTTTGGATGAACCAGCGCCACGCAGACTCTGGGACGTCATCCGTGATCAGTGATGCAACTGGAAGGCAATCATGTGGCGCTGAGCTCAGACTCCTCAACATGCCAGAGGTACTGGCTTAATCAGAAGCTTTTAGAAACACACACACACACACGTGCTGACAGATGACACAGTGTGTGTCCAACTGCAACTATTCCATTTAGTTCTCCTTCAAAATGGCAACAAACTACGTAGCTCTGTTTATCGTCATCAGCAGAGAAAACATCAAGTTACTGAGCTTTTATCATCTGTCCGTGGTTTTCCTGATGTGCTGAAGTTTTAGTTCCAACGTGAAGTCATTTCAAAAATCATCCTCTGGGTGGTTTCTAATCCACGAAACATTATTTAGATTAAATAATTATACAGTCAAGACGCCGCAGTCATAAAGATGTGAGAACAGAGGTGCTGGGTGACACGAGGTCAACAACGTGTTCCATACGGGACACAATTCTATTTGATTTCATTTCACTTATAAACATTTAAGATGATCAGTAGATTATTAGTTCTGAGAACAGATGTTATATGACATGCTTACATGAAAACACTCAAGGGATGTAAAGACACGAGATCGGTACAACGGTTTGTTCTGTTTTGACCGTCCAAGAAACAGAAACAGTAAAATAAAAATCTCCTTTCCTGCTGGGGAGGGTCTTCAAAGAAATAAGACCAACAAAACAAATAAAACTTAAAGCTACAGCGTTACAAAATTAACTAGAGAAATTGCATTTCCTGCAAAAGTGAAGGTGAATGATTATTGCACAATTTGCAGAAAAACAGCTGAAATTAGCAACAAAAATAAAATCTGAAATATAGTTAAAAATGGAAGAACAAGCCTAAATTGGTAGAAGAAAGCAGGAAGAAGACATTTGTTCAATTAGGTTTAAATAAGAAGAAATGAGCACAAAAATTTGAAAATTAGCTTAAAAAAAGTTGAAATTAGCAAAAAAAAATAGCTGAAAAGTAGCTGAAAAGACAGAAAGGAGCTTAAACTACTAGAAGGAAGTGGAGAGAGCACATCTTTGATGAATTAGGCTGAAAAAAGTTTAATTGCAAAAAAATGTGGAATTAGCTGAAAAAGCTAAAATTAGCAAGAAAGAGTTAAATAGTTGCTGAAATAATTGAAACTAGCTGAAATAAGCTGAAAGGACCATAACAAGCTGATATTAGCAGAAATAATTTAATTAGGCTAAAAGTAGCAGAAATTATCACAAAAAAATAGAATTTATTTGATAACAGCTGAAATTAGCTAAAAAAAAAAAAGCTAAAAAGGTAGAACAAGCTTTAATTAGCAGAAGAAAGCAGAAAGAACACATTTTCCCAATTAGGCTTAAAGAAACAAAAACGAGCACAAAGAAATTGAAATTATCTGAAAGAGCTGAAATTAACAACAAAAAACCCCTGAAAAGTAGCTAAAAAGCAGAAAGAAGCTTAAATTACCAGAAGGAAGTGGAGAAAGCACATTATTGTTGAATTAGGCTGAAAACAGTTTAAATGAGTATAAAAAATGTAGAATTAGCCAAAAAAAGAGCTAAAATTGACATAAAACAGCTAAATAGTAGCTGAAATAGCTGATTTTTTTTTGCTTAGATAAGCTGAAAGGAGCACCACAAGCTGAAATTATCAGAAGGAAGTTAGAAGAAGCACAAAAATATAGTTAGTAGAATGAATCAAAGGATCACAAAACAGCTGAAATCAGCTGAAAGTAGCTGAAAAAAGTTTAAACTTGCATAATGAAAGGTTGTAAACGGATCTAAAGATGTAAAATGAGCTCAATTCATTTTCTATGAGGAAAAAGAAAATGGCAGAAAAGGCTAAATATTTCAAAAAGCTAAAGTTGCACCAAAACCAAAGAGAAAATGATATTCTCCTGAACGAGCTGAACGTTTGGACTTATGATTTGTTGAAATGGCACAAAAATTGTGGAACAAGAAAGATGCTGAAAAACATACGGAAGAACGCGCCGACGTCTCTGAGGGATCATCTGAACGGTGAAGACGAGTGTTTTTCTGGACTGGAACTGAACGGGCAAGTCAACCTTAATGTTTGTGATGGAAGATATTCATAATAATATAAATTGAAACAGAAAAAATGACTCATGAAAAGCCTCTGAGCTACAAACACCCACTTTTAATTATTGGTTCATAATCATCAAGTCCTTCTCTGTCACCTTTGGATTACGTAACGACCTGAAGCACTTGAAGCACATGACACAGAAAGGATCTTTCTTTCAGAACAAAACGAACATGTGGTTGCTTTTATGGCGTGAGAGGGTTTCACGAGCTCAATAATGAAGGAAAGCAGAATCCTGTGAACTCTTCAGGTATTCATCCGGTAATCTTTAAACGAACCTGAGACACGAGAGACTTGTGAGAATAATAATAATTAAAATAAAACGTTCACAGTTTCTGAGAATGTGATGAAAGCGACAGAGAAAATGATATTCTGCTGCTCATTACGCTCCAAAAAAACTTAAGAATCCCAGAACACACATTTTCTAAACGGCTGATCAGAACTACGATCCCAGGTTTCATTTGGAGTGTTCAAACTGCAGCGGCTGTTTCATTTAAGGGACGTCGATCTCAAACCTTCGAACCAGACACATCAGTCTGACATATTGCAACTAATTAATGTTTCTGCACGGACACACATGCTTGTCCTGCTCAGCTGTTCATGGACTTTTTCCTGGTTGCGTTCCCACACCAGAACACCAGTTCACATCCTGAACCTGTCCGTACAGCTCATCAGCCCCATCAGCATCATAAAACAAAGATGTCTTCCACATTACTGGATTATAAAGCTGCTAACAAGGTCAAACGTGTTGGATAATCACTTATAAATTATTTTATTATAGTGTTAAACTGGATCGCCTTGCTAGGAGGATGTTTGTCTCAGTTGCTTATGATTTAAAAATAAAATGCACAGCATTTAATATCTAATAATAAACACTCAAAAGGACTAAAAGAACCAGAACAAAATACCAGACAAAGGTTAGCGCAGGGTGCAGCTGCCTCCATATTTAAATCAAATGTCACAAATCGAAGCTTCAAAGCTCGTACGCTCCAGAAAACACGACAAAGAGAACATGTTTGTGTGAACGCCCGTCAGCACGGTCAAAAGGTCCCGTCTGCAGATAAAACACCTCGCACAGCTACTGGAACAGGAAAAACATTTATTCTAATAAAGACAAAGACCACAGAACAATAAAGAAGAAAAATAACTAAACGCTTATTTAAAAGAAGACTGTCTGCCTACCTGTGTGAGAGACATGTTACGGAGGTCCAGTCTGAAAAGGTAGTTCCTGAAAGCAGATTAAAATAATGGAAGTTAATTTCTCTTAATGTGAAAACTGTTTAATTGGTCATCAGTGCTCAAAATGAAGTCTCTTGTTATCAGAAAGATCTATTATCTTACTGAAATGTGTGATTATTGATGTTTTTATAGCATCTTATGTGTTAAAACAAGGCAGAACTTGTGATTTCGGGTTTTGTTTCCGGTAGAAAAAGTAGTTTAGACGCACGCCGACAATTCCCAGCAGATCATATTGAACACAAGATGACGAGGTATCATTGGTCGAGAGCTGGTCACATGATGCAAGATAGGGACTCCTCATATGTCGGCGGTGGCGATTACGTCCGGGAGATGTGGCCAGTTCTGAAGGAAGGCGTGCGTTAATCGACGCTCAGCGCCATTACTGTAACCTCATGGCGGTGCCAGTATGATTTATGTGTTTTCTAAAGTAAACTTTCTGAGCTGAAATCAGTCGCCCCTCCAGAGCCTGCGTCAGACCATTTTAAAGTGGGCTTCTGCAGAAAAGACAACTAGTTGATATCTTACCTGTCGTAGATGGATTCAGTTCAGTTTATTTATGTACATAGCACCAAATCACAACAGAAGTTGTCTCAAAGCACTTTGAAAAAAAAACACATTTACATTTGTTTCAAAAAAGCCAATTAGTAAAAGTTATTCTTCTGAGGAAGCAGCAGATTGTGTTGAATCTTCACTTCGTCACAGACTCTGATCCTGAGCGAGCACAGAGGAGACAGTGGAAAGGAAAGACTCCCTTCAACAGGAAGAACCCTCCAGCAGAGCGAACATCTGCTTCGACCAAGACCTTTGAACATCATTTCTGAGAAATAAAGTTTAACTTTAACAACTTTGATGAGCTGATGGCTAGTCAGAGCAGAGCCAAAACGAAACAGGACTGCTATAATTAAAAAAAAAAAAAGTTGAGTCTTTGAAATTTCAAGATAGTTACGACAAATGATGTCATAGTCCTTTACATTGTTTTTATGTACAATTATTTACATCGAATTATTATTATTTGTTAGCACAACTAGCAGCAACTGTAGCACCCCCAATGCTACAAGAAAAAAAAACATTAAAAACTCAATTTATGAAGTTGATTATACATTTTTTGTTTGTTTGTTTGTTTGTTTGTTTGTTTGAATAAACTGCTCCCAAACTAGGACTGAAGTTGTTTAAGATGGAGGGTCTGCTCGGACAAGCCATACACGAGCAGGGAATATTTCAGAGTCCTAAAGAAACTTTGATCCTCAAAGAGTTTCTCTGATTCACGTAAACTTTATCATGCAAGCATCATTTTAGCATTACACGGGTGTTTAGCCAGAAAAATGATAAACATTCTGCTGGAGGTGCACTAGGCTGCACATGGACGGTTACAATGATCATATCTGTGCTCGCAGATAACCAGATAGTTCTGTGTAAATAACTACAGGGTCAAATTGACAGCAGCATAAAGATTTATACACGTTTATGTCCCTTTCATTGTAGTATTTGCTGCTTGTGTGTGGGTGGAGTCTGGGGTCCAGAGACTTTTAAACTAACTAGATGCCATTTCCTGCATTCTGGTGTATTTTAACGGGTTGTTAAACATCTACGTTTACCTACACATGTAAACACTTGATTCAGTAACTACTTTAGAGAGTATAACTCCAGCAGTTTGCTGACTTATGCCCCCCCCCGTTGACAACTGCCGACACTAACGTAGCATTAACCTAACGTGTGCAAGTGCAATACAGACGCGCTAGCTAAAATGCTACAGACGTAGCGCTCTGCTTCTCTCACGCACCCCAACGCCCCCACCTTGGTCAACAACTGCCAGCATTAACGTTAACGCTACGCTAGCGGGCAACACAGATGTGTCCCCCCCGCCCCGCCCCGTCAACAAAGCATCCCCTCAGAGATGAGCACGGTGCCAAGGCAGATGACGGAGGGGAAGCACTGCATGTGGAGTTGTTGTAGGTAACCAGGAAAACCTGGAGTGGACTTTTAGTGGTTTGAGTCTTCTCCTATTGATCAAGTGGAATGGATTTGTTCACAAAGAAACAGCGCTGGGTGAACTAATATTTCATGTTAAGTGTGTGTGTGTGTGGGGGGGGGGAGATGCGGGGGGGGGCACGCCCCTTCACATATAATTGTTGTGACGCCTACATTCACAACTTTTACAGAACTTGCCACTGCAAAAATGTCAGAAATGTCCAGTTAAATCGTTTTAGCTGGGTATAGTTGGGTGTTTTTATACATCTGTGCGTCATAATTTAAACGTGTAATGTAACAAAGCTAAACCAGGCCGGGTTGAACAAACTATGGCAGCATGTTGCATTTCTTTTAAATTCATCCCTCCTGCCAAACCCAAAGCTTAAGTTGTCCCGGCGAGGCTTCGGCCGAGTACTTTAAGCGTCATTATCCCAAAACTGCACGGGGATGAGTGAGTCAGAAAGGGCATCACGTTCTCAGTAATGTGCTCTGTGGGGTGAAAAGCTGAGTGGATTTACAGTTTCTTACCTGGCACCCACAATAAGCTCATTCCTGGTCAGGTCAAGGGTGAGCTGGGAGAAGTCTCTCACACCAGGGTGGGAGAAAGTGGAAATCCACGGGCTGAGCGCTGAGAAAAGGAAACACGGAGAGGTTATCATGGCGTGTCACGGGAGCTGTGAAGTTTTACTTCACACTTCAGCTTGTTTTAAAAGCTTATTTTATGCACAAGTGGGTGCATGATTATTTTAATGAGGTTGATTGATTATAAGAAAATCAATAGCACGTGTTTGGAGCAAAGGGCTGAATCTCTCCAAGCCTCATTTAGTTTTCGTTGGACGGAGAAAAGCTTTTAGTTTTGGATCGTCACCACCGTCCTCTGGGAACTTTCCTTTTGTGCTGAACAGGTTGTTTATTTAAAAGATTGACTAGTACAGTGAAAGGTTGTTAAAAAAAAAAAGGTGCATTTACGAGTGAAAGCAGAAACCTTCGGTGTCGTGGTGTCCCTGACAGAAGAGGACAAAGCGGTCCGGGTCGCATGAGGGCCAACGGTCCTCGTACGAGCAGACGTCTGCACAAACAGCTCTGTGTGGAGCACTAAGCTGCAGCCTCGGCGCTGTGTGACACCGGCATTTACAAATCTAAATTTCAAAGCAGCGCAGCGGAGGACCGACCTGGTGGGGCTTTTAATGTCACACTGAACATCGCAGGAAAAGAGCACCTTCTCCTCGATCTTTGTGCGATTCTTCCTGCAAATCTATCAACGGATTTGACGTGGGGGGTTGCGCGTAAACGGATTTGCCACATTTCATGCTGTACACACGATCACGGTCGTTGGAAGAGATGAAAATATATTTGTAACAGCTTGAATGTCTGTGTTACACTGACTTTAGAAGTAATTCATCTTTTTCAGCAACATTATTTTTGAACTTGAGTGAGACTGAGATGAATTAAACACCATTACAGAAAAAACAAAAGTCAAAACAATAAACAATAAAAAAAGTAAAGTTAAAGTAAAGTATGTCAGCACTTATGCAGGAAAGTTCTACAAACTGACAAACCAAATCAGTATGTCAGGAACAGAGTTTCCCCAAAGCTAAAACCAACACTAATATTATAAATATATTATTATAAATATTAATAAAACATCAACACGTCTCCAAGTTTTATCACGTTTTTAGACTGAATCAACACGAAGGGCGTTCATAAATTCAAAGATCTCAATCGGACTCCGCAGCTCTCACACCTAAATTTACACGTTATTCTATTCATTCAAGTGGGTAATCGTTATTTTTAAGTTAGCGAAGTTTAGCTGTGGCAGCCTTCTGGAAAGTGTTCGGCTCAGAATGTTCTTCAGTTAAAGAAATGCATCTCGTCATTACTTTCTGACAGTTTTATTTTGTTTTAATTTCACAATCTATTCTGTTAACAGTCAAACAAGTGAACACACAAACACTGACGCTCATATATGGAGGGTGAACAAATTAAATAAATAAATACATCATGAAATAAATAAATGTCCCATGAATGATGTAAATGGACCAACAAAGTCTCAGTAAATAAACATATCATTTAATGATTTAATACATCATTAAATATACCATTAAATTATGAAATACACAAATAATTAAATAAATGTTAAATAAATACATAAATAAATAAATGTAGATGTCCAATTAAATAAA